CGGCGTGGACCGCATGCTGTAATTAGGTTAGCGTTGTGGCCGGAGCCAGGAAATTTAAATTTAACGCCGGTACCCCGTCGCCGCAGCCTTGCGAGGCTTCGGGAAGGGCGCGATCCCGACCCCGAGTCGTGGTCGATGGCTTTGCCGGCTCCGACTTGGAGTTTGAGAGTTATCAGTCTGGATCTTCGGGCACGTTTTGTCTGTCTCGATGCAACTTCTGGACGTCTTTCGAAGTAGACTTGTTGGGAGTGCGGGCGTGGGGAAGACTTTCTATCTTCTGTAAAAGATTCTTGAGGTTCTCGTCTATTTACAAGTATACGTTTCTAAGAGATTGGGAACTTCTGGTTCTCTCTAGACGCACCTTCAGGCCTACGTTTAGGGACTTGAGCAGGCGTCTATCACCGGTAGAGCCCCTCACCCCGTGATCCTGGGATCCTCAGAGATGTCAGTGTTTTGTGTATTGCTCCTGTGGGCCTGCAATAGCTCCTGTTGACAACAGCAGTACTAGTCCCTCTAGCAACTTTATCATGGGGTTGTTTTTGAAAAGCAAGTGATTGCAGAAGTTCCTCGGAGAAGTGTAAGGCTGTTGCTTCTAACGTTGCCTGTGGTCAGGTTGCCTTACTTAGCTGGCACTGAAAATGTTAACGTTTCTATCAAGCATTTTACACGTTAGCGGTGCCCTGATGGACTCAAGATCTTGTCTTCGGTCATTTGGGAATGTAAAAGAAGACAAAATCTCCCTCTTTCCAAAAATTTCCTACCAAGGAAGCAAAGTTTTCTATGGGGAAGGCCCAGGAGTAGCGGCTAGGACGCTGGAGGTCTTCCCCACCACCTCGAGCAGCGGGGAGGTACAGAGTATGAGGTGGCGGGGATTTTACTTTTAGATTAAATTGTTTTCTTCAATTTAGTCTTGAGTGTTCATACTTAGATTTGTTTGTGATGGTGTGCACATAATCAGTTCCATTAGTGTTTAGATGAGAGTAGCACCTTATACATAAGTTGTATCCTGTGTGTATTAAAATGAATATAAAGATGACACATTTACCACTGGTGCATTATGAAGTAAATATAGTGGGGTTTTTTTTTTTCTTCTATTTGTCCTGTATCTTGAGGTTTTTCTACTCGGTATTTTCCTGGCAGAAATCATAAGTATCATTTCATACCAGCTTGTGTTCATTCAGCAAGTTTGTTGAGTGCCAGCCATCAGAAAAGATGGAGATAGAATATTCGTGCCCTGAAGGAACATTTGTTGGTAAGAAATAAGTATGTTGCAAAGAAATGATAGCGCTGTACAATCCAGAGTTTTAATTTAGTTAGCTTTGGTTAAAAGGTAATGAAAAGTGTAATTGAGGTAGTGGATATAAGTATGTGTAGTAAGTGTGTAGTGGTCAGTGTCTTTCAGGCGAAGTTTTCTATTTCTTGTAGTCAATACTGACTATTAAGATTAAAAGATGAGCCGGGGATTTAGCTCAGTGGTTCCGGTGCCTGCCTTACAATCTCAAGGACCTGAGTTCCATCCCTGGTACCAAAAAAATGAATAAGATTAAAAGTTGACTTTAAGAACTTTTGCATTTTGACTGAGATCCTGGTTTTGGAGTCAGGCAACTAGTTACTGACATGAGCTCAATTTTCTCATCTGTGACATTAGGGTCAATGCTTTCCTCCTAGAGATGTGATATTTATAAGACAAAACACAAAGCATTCCTTGCAGTTCTGATAGTAAATACTTAGTAAATGATGTTAATTATTGCATTGAAACTCATCGAAAATGCCTGTCTGAAGCCTGTTTTTTGTTTCTAGAGATGTAGAGTTAGTTGTATCGTTTTGATCAAGACGGTCTTATTTGTACGGTAACTGTGGTATGAAGCTATAAATGCAGAGTGACAACCTGGAAAAACTATCTAGTACTTGAGTTTCTAGGGAAGGGGACCATCAACTGCCTCTTGTTCCTAAACTGAAATCTCTTTCGTGTTCGGCAGCATACTGCACATGTCCAGAGAGAGTGTATTGGCAAGGGAACACTAAGCCTTTCCCTTCTGGAAGTGATGGGCTGGCGTGGTGGTCCGAAGTAGTTTCATGAAACGGGTGTGTCCCCTATCTGCAAAGCTTTTGCATACTCACCTGAAAGGAAGGCCTGAAGTGTGGCAGTAGGTCCTTAGTAAATACTCACGCAGCTGTTGAGTCTGTTGATTTTGTGCTTTGTGAATTAAAAAAAGGGGGGAACAGATCCCAGAAAAGATGGTAAAACACCAATCTTATAAAATTTAAAGAGTTTCTATTAGTTGAAGAATAAAATAAATTATTCCCTGTATCTCCAGCAGCTAGGATTGCGGGAAAACCGATTTTTTGATTCAGCATATATAAGCACTTCATAGCTTTCACAAAAAGACCAAACATCCTTTGTTTTAAACTTATTTTAAATGTATTTATTTTTTAAAACTGATGTGAAATTGTATATGTCTTTATCAAGTACAACATGACTTTTTTGCATTTAAAATTTTTATTTGTACATTTTAAATATGCATAAGGATAACATTCATCATAGGGAGTATGTACCTGTACCTGATATATCTTCTTTTTTTACCATTCCCCTCCCCTCCCTTCAGCCCCTCTTCCTCTCCTTATTTACAAAAGCTTTGTTTCAATTTTTCCTTCTGTTCTTTTTTTTCTTGTCCCGTCTTTCTTCACAACCCCCTTGTTTTCTTTCTTATTTGAACATATATTTGCCATTTCCCAATATATTCTGTATTTTGGTCCATATTTGCACTTTTACTTTGCACTTTTACTTTCTCACAGTAGAGAAACAATGTGTTATTGAAACATGTGTCTGATTTATTTCACTTAAGAGTATGGTCTCAAGCTTGTCTCTATTTATTATATTATTATCTCAAGCTTATCTCTAGTAAAAAAATCTTTATCCATTCATCGGTTGATGGACATTTAGGCTGTTTACAAGATTTAGCAAACTCTGCTGCTCTAAACATGGGTGTGCATATATCACTGTGATATGCTTTTAATTCTTTGAGGAAGATACAAAGAAGGAGAATAGCTGGGTCAATGGAACCTCTAGTTTTAGTTTTTTGAGGAATCACACTGATTTCCACAGTGGTTGTACCAGTCTACACACCCAGCAACAATGGAGAAGGGTTCCTTTTTTTTCCAAGCTTCTCCAACATTTGTTCTTGATTTCTTCATAGCAGCCATTCTTTCTGGAGTGAGATGGAATCTGTTGTTTTAATTTGCATCTCTCAAATAACCAGTGATGTTGAACATTTTTTCATGTATTTACTTGCTGTTTCTGCTTCATCTGAGAAATATCTATTCATCTCAGAT